GGGGGGGAGGTGTGGTGGAAGAGAAGAAAAGACAGACGGGGGTGGGGGAAGAAACTTGATTTCTTTAATAACACATTTTTAAAAGGGAGGCTTTTTGAATAGGATAGCTCGAAAGGTGAAGAGGTTTAATCGGATACTTGAAAGCTAATTACAGCGGGATTTAAGAAGACTGGTGTTTGTTCCGACGACAATTTGAATGAAAATGCTCAGATTAAACCGAGCCAGCAGCTCTTTCGTAAACTTGGAGCAATTAGAGCCCTAAGCGATTTCCACTGGTTTCTTTAAGGTGTAAATTGCCACTTACTGCTCGGTAAGTCAACATTTCAGCTACTAAAGGATTATTTTTAACCAGCGCAGAAAGCGGGTGGAATAATGGAAATATCCAGCTGAATTTAATTTGTCCCATTTAACAAAACCAAAAAAAAAAAAAAAAACCAAACCCAAAAAACAAAAAGCCACCCCACCTCACCCAAACTCAGCCAGAAGGTTTTTAAATCACCCAGGCACGTCACGCGTGTGCCCAGCTTTTGCTGCAAGGTTTCAGTTTAGTTCTCCAAAGAGAAGTCTAGCTTAGGGCTGCTAGCCTTGAGCTAGCGACCCACGCTTGCATTTCTGCCTCCCCTCTGGGCGTCGTCTCTTTTGTGCATCCCCTGAAAGCCCAGGTGAGCCACAGGGTGTCCCCAGCGCAGCTGCTCCAGGGCGCAAGCATCGGGACAGAAACTCCACCCGCCACGGTTCCTGCAAATCCGCGGCCGGCAGTGCCCTCCCGGTCCTGCTGTCTTCCCCCAAGCGGCTGGGGACCCGGTTCAAGATGAAAACGTGAGCCGCCAACGGGTCAAGCCTCTGAAGCAGGCTCTAGCCTGCCAGGTTCCCTGCTCTACCCAAGACCACTTGGCAGTCCTGTGTCCCGGGAGAGGGGGGGGGCTGCTCCCTTTAATAGAAAGGCTCTTCTGATCGGTCCAGAGACCCAAGTCCTGCGTCTGTGGCCACCGGCCCTGCTGCGGGACACGCACCTTAGCCCGGAGAGCCCCAGAGCTCAGCGCCACGCAGCGATCGTCTCCGGTCCCACGCCACTAGCGCCGGGTCCTCCCGACCCCTGTCCGAACCGCCTCGACCTCCGCGTTAAATAGAACAAACCCAGGACTCACAAGGCCAGGACCAAGAGCTCTTACGCTCCAGGCTTCGTCTCCCAAATTACAGTGTCCATGCCTCGGGTTAAGAGAGTCGGTGGGGAGGGGAGCAATGATTACATCCTAACGCTACTACGTAATAAAAAAAAAGTCAGGTCTGGAGACGAGGTCGTGACAGGTAGTTCCTGAACTTCGTTTAGGAGCCCAAACCGCCCGCTTTTCAAGGAAACCATTCAACGCATCCGGCCAGCTCACCTTCTGGTGGGGAACCGCCAGCTCTGGCACGTCCTTCACTTCCAGTTTACACACAAACATCTGGTCGCTCTTCCAATACATGGCCCCGCGGGGGCTGCTTATCACATCCCAGCTCCCGAGGGTCCGAGGCCGGCGGTGTGGGCCGCGTGCCCCTCCCGGCCGCGCAGTCAGCGCCAGGAACGCTACTTCGCCGGTAGACCAGCCTCCGGTGCGTCTTCGTCCCCAGGCCCCGGTGGCCGGAGCCGCTCTCCGCCCCACTGTTCTTAAGATTGCCTTCCCAGCCACACTGAGCTCTGTCCGTCCACGAAAAGGGGGGGAGTGTTTCCCAGAGGGTGGAACCTTCCAGGGAGGAGGGGGAGTGGGGGAAAGTTTCTTGGAGGAAAGGCCTCACCTCCTTGAGGAAAACCCGCCTTCTCTACCATACTAAGATCTTTATCAGCACAAGCCAACTTACTCCACTTCAGTATTAAAGGTGAGGGAAATGTGGACGGCCTGTTAACTTATTAAGAAAGAAAGAAAGAAAGAAAGAAAGAAAGAAAGAAAGAAAGAAAGAAAAAAACAAAAAAACACAAACAAAAAACAAAACCCTGCTCTTGTCTTTTTAAATTCTCGCCTCCCAACCCAAACCTAAACAAAGATTCGGGTTACAGCTCCCGGCGGCGCGCGGGAGGAGAGTGGAGCCTCGGGTCTCGCACAGCCTCCAGAACCGCGCATCTCTCCAGCGAGTTGAGAAACGCGAGCGCTCGAAGCAACCCTCGGCCCACTGATCTAGCGGTTCCCGCTGCATTTGCGAAAAGTTTTCTAATTAAGATAAAGAAGGGACATCGAACGACTAGATGTGATTTTCGACTAGATTTGAAATGAAGAATAGAAGACGAAGTATGTCGCTCACGAATATTGCTTTCATTTAATTCTAGACCGAATCTAAATCAGACAGCAGCGGCCAGCTTCGTATTCCCAGGCACTTTGTGGGGGGCGGGGGGGGGCGTTCAGAGGATAATTTTAATCAGGACTGGAGGAGGGTGTGCTCTTTAAACCTGTAGAAATTCTTCATTTATATATGAAGAAGAATTTGGTAAGGCATTGTTTTAAAGTGGCTTATTATTTCCTATTAGCCCCCTTTGAGAAACAATATAAGAACGTCTTAGAGTCTATTTCTTGAAGGAAGGCCTGTAACAAAAGCAAGCTTAGTGGCTTCAGTTAGAAATAGACGTCTGTGAAAAGAGGTATGAACACAACGTCTGTTTCCCTGCCCAGGAGCGGAGGATGGGTGTGCCTTTCCAAACCGGCCAGCAGACAGTGGAGGGGTATACAGACTTTCTGTGCGACACTTTGGGGCTGAGTAAAGACTGCAAATTTGGGGTTTCTTCTCTTGCGTTTTCTTCCTATAAACACAAGGCGCTTCGGAGTATTTTCCCAGGGTCCTGCTTTCCTTTTCCGTAGCTGTGCACTGGTCCTTAACCAGCGACCACCGACTGGTCCTTAGCTAGCCACCTCCGCCAGCCCTCTGCGGGGATGAACTCCCTTAAATTCAGCGTGGAGGGCGAGAGACCCACAGTTCAGATTAACCTGTGTCCTGGCTGAGCCTTGAAGGATTGGGGTTGGACTCGCTGCCTGAAAAGCTAACTTGTGTTTTCTCATCAAATGCAAAAGTCAGTATTGGGGTGGAGAGAGCCACATAATAATGTATTTCCCATGAGACAGCTTCGCTGCGGGCAGACCCTTCCTGATAGCAAGAGAGGAGTGTGTCTAGGACGGCACAGTCCACTGGAAGAGAAATCAAAACTAGAGTCCAGCTTGGTGATTCACTTAGGGTCCTTTGTGCTAAGGTTTGCAGTGTGAATCTGTGGTTCCCTTGGACCGCTATGGAGACCTGTTTGCGCCGGTCTTCTGGTGATCCCAGCAAGCTGTAGCTGTTTGTGGAAGTGGGGCGGGGGCGCCGGCGTGTACGCGGTCTTTGCACCCACCCTCGCCTAATCAGGCGGCTCTCAATCAGGTTTTCAAAATACTAATCTTGATCTAAGAGCTCCTATCTCTGCATAAGTGGAGGAAATGATTCGTTTTTAGAGGCTTGTGGGCTTAGAGAAGAACAGTCCTCAGACTTAAGCAGAAGACCTAGAAGGCTGGTCTGGCGTCCGCCTGACTTCAGGCGCCAGGCTGGACCCAGACATTAATCTCCCAGGTCCAGCCTGCTCTGGAGGCCTCCGGGTGGTGAGTGCGTTTCCGTGACTGTCTAGGGAACCTGGTGCTTTGTACTGGGGTTTTGGGTTGGAGGCGGGTGGAGGGGAATGTGCAGTGAAGGTCAAGGTTGGCCGCCAGCCCACCTTGGGCCGGTGGACCTTCTCACCCTGAGAGAGAGCCCAGCCTTGGAACAGCCCTTCAGGCTTAGCTGCCGGCTCCTCCCTGCGCGCCCTGCTTTTCTCCGGAAAAGAAAAACTTCTCCTGCTCGTCCCATGTTAGTGCTTGGGCTAAAACTAAGAAGACCCCTCCCCTTATTTGTTTTTAAAATTTCCGTAATGAAGGTTTATAGCCTGGACCCCAATTAAAACCAATTTTGAACGAAAGTCAGTTCGAAAAATGTTATCTTACTGGCCTATAGGTGGAAAAAGAAATCTCGGTGCCTATTGGATTGAAATTTCTAGAGGGCCATGGCTCCTCAGATAAAAATCAGAAGTTAAAGGACCACCTGGGGGACTACCAATGCCCTTGAACCCCTGTCTGCTCCAGGAACTCCAACCATGGTATGGCTCGAAGGGATCCAGCCCCTTTCCCAGGCCCCTTGGGTTTTAGCAAGAGACAGCATCTCCGGGGGCAGCACAGCCGGGCACAAGCAGTCTTCGGGATTCTGTCTGGTTGGAGTCCAGGGCTGGAGGGAGAGAGAGAGGGAGAGGGGGAGACGGGGAGAGGGGGAGAGAGAGAGAGAGAGAGAGAGAGAGAGAGAGAGAGAGAGGGAGGGGGGAGAGGGAGAGAGAGAGAGACCCAACCCATCCGACCCCCACAGCTTCCACCTAGGCGAAGAACTGCCTAATTGGGTAGCGAGCGGCTTCGAAATTTGTGATCGTCTAATAATCCTTCCACCTTGGTAATTCTTATCACAGGCGTAAAACTGATATTTTCACACTTGGCTCGCGCCGCAGGAGCCGTTTATAAACATTCTTCGTCAGTGGGATGAAATTAAGGCTGCATTGACAGAGGGCTCTGGAACTCGATATTTAAAAGCAATAGATCCGAATTAGTAAATTATTACTTTGAGCAGAGAAAGTCCCCACCAACTAAACTACTGAGCCCGGTGCTTCCGGCTCCTCAGGGTGAGTAACTACACGTTTGAAGGAACTTAGCCTGGAGTTTGTGTGGAACGTAGGCCCGAGTCTCGGCCACTGAACCAGCCATCTGCTGGGGCTGTGACGCTCCAGAAGCTGGCACGGGATTGCCTGGGAGAAAGCCTGGGCAAAATGGGCCTCAGTGGCACCACCGGGCCCACGCTTTCTCCAGCCAGCAGCGGAGCAATCCGCCGCCAGGGACCGCAGCGGGGCTCAGCAGGCCCCAGGACTGTCCACTGCGGCAGGAGCGGGGGGACCTTGGCTCTGGTAAAGGAACCGCTTTGGCTGACCCAGGTGGGGACTCCTGGAAGCCCGGAAGGCGAAAACTGGGCTCCGATCTGCCTGGAACGTGGCTGCTGGTGGGGAGAGGGGTCTTTGGACTGTGGTTCACCAAGAATTTTTGTTCTGGAGAGTAAAGGGTCAACGTCCTGGTAAACTTGCTCTACTAGAACGTGGGGACCACAGAAGTTAGCGTTGAACTTGGGACTCCTTGAACCCAGCCTCTTAGAACTGGTTACCCAAGGCGACCAGGAGAAAGGAGAGGCGACTCTATTCACGCCAGAGAAGCTCACGGAAAGGCGGCAAGGGCCTGGATCTGGGGTCTGCCCCTAGCCACAACGCAGCCTTGCCGGGCTTTCCGCCAGGTGAGCGCGTCACTTGGGGACAGCCTGGCGCGCAGACCCGTGCACCCTGCCTCGGCCCTGCGGGGGCACCTCTGGGTCTCAACCGAGTCGGAGGTGCCAGCCCTGGCCTGTTGTCGCTCGCTGTCCTGGAGATCCACAGAGGGAAGGTCGGGAGAGGAACTCCAGATAGAGAGCCCGGAAACTGAGGCCGCTACAGACACAGAAAAAAACGACGAGAGAAACGAATTCCGAGGTCACCGGGAGCCCGAAGTTGGGGGAGGGGCGGTCCGGAATTCTCCTGGGCTGAAACGCCCAGGTGCACGACTGCAAGGCGCGCGGGGACATCTCCAAACCCGCAGTCTCGGCCTAAAGCACGTTTGTGGTTTGGAGCTGCGGGTGTTGGCTGCATTTTGTCGTTTGCAGCGACCAAGAAAATGGGACTTGCAGAAACTTGATTCTAATGTTTCTACGGAATCCTGCCGGCAAAACTCTAAAGAACAAGGTGTAGGGGAAAATGAGAAAATTCCTGCAGTAACCGCTGCCCGCTCTCGCACTTTCCTCCTCATGCTAGGCACCGCCCTCCTGGGGAGATCTGGCTCAGCTCTCTTCCTTCCCGGGCTGGAAGACCAATCAATCCCAAGGGTGCTTCTCCCGTAACTCCTGCTCCACACCCATCCACTCCACCCTCTCCGGTCCCCAAGGTCCTGTAATAGGAATTAAAACCCAGCCAGGGTGCAGGACAGCCACTCATAGACTGAATGCAAACAGCTCAGGCGCCTGGAGGCGTTTCTAGAGCTCGGAGCGGGGGTGCAGGCCGCGGTGGGAGCCTCTGATTCCCAGGATTCTGTAAGGTTTGAGAAGGGAACTCACAGTCCTGGTGGATAGCCACCTTGGAGCTCCCCAGCAAGCCTCAGCCGACCCGCCCACGACTTTGGTGTCCCTAGCTCTCCCAGCAACACTTCCTGTCCACCGCTGTCCTTCCTTACCTTAAGAATATATACTCTCACCATGGACTCACAGAGGCCGAAAACCACAAGAGATAGTTTCGAGTTACCTAATTTTGTGTGTGGATTTCGGCTATAGGAGACTTAGTACTTGTCACAGAGCAATCTCTCTCTCTCTCTCTCTCTCTCTCTCTCTCTCTCTCTCTCTCTCCTTCTTCCTTGCATGCCTTCTTTCCTTCCTTTGTGGGAGTGCGGGGGT